GGGTGCGCAAAAAGACAGAGAGACAGACAGCCGGTTTAGACCATGGAGAAACGGAGCAGAGGAATGCTCTTCAACAGCAAAAGCAAACGGCTTTGTAAAAGAAGACACACCTAATTACTCCCTGTTTTACATAGCATAAGTAGTCAGGTAATTAATAAATTTATGTTCAGGGAAGAAGTTTCCTCGCTCTTTGCTGCCATCCAAATTTGATTGTCCCTAGGTCTTTTAACAAGACAAAGTTGATGATAATTTGTTTCCATTCTCCTTCGGATTGTATCAGAGGAAGCATGACAACAACCAAGATTAATTACGAGATGACACACAGAATAATAGTAGTAAGAAAACAAGACGTATGAAGAGACCAAGGAAGGTTTAGGCGACACTTCAAGTCTTCACTGAAATGTTTTTGCATCTGGACATGGATGACTAGTGCTTCTATAATTAAATTATTGATGGTCAAGGTCAAGATCAATCAGCGGATCCGAAACCCATCTTTTAGAGACAATATATGATAGATCCAACCCGTACATTATGAAAATGCTGGAAGTTTCAAACCAAATTAGTCACACTGAAGTATTTATAACACAAAGAGTGTAAATAAAACTGGTGTAGATTAGAAGATAACCCATTCCTTTAATGCCCCCTTTAAAAAATAGTGTTTCATTAATTTTTAGCACAATTGGTTCCGAAAACTATTTTTATGACAACAACATTTGTTGAAAAATTAAATATCTCAGGGTTTTTTAAACCCTAGTAACGGAAACGATCGATAAACAAGGATACATAGCTTTATTTATCGATTATGTCTCTTTGCCTTTTGTTACTCTTGTTTATTTTCTCACTTTGAACTTACTATCATCATCATTGCTGTTAGGAAAAAAAAGTGTGGAGACTTGAGTATTTGAATTTTTATGACAATAAAATATGTTCAACATTTCGCCCCAAAACCCCCAAACAAATACAAAAACAACTTTTAAAAACCCAGCAAACAACAACAAACAACAAAATAAACAAACAAAACAACTAATGGAGCTGTCGAAGGATGAACACAAAGCACTAACAATGAAAGCCCGTGGGTAGATAACAGACCTGTTTCGTCCGGAATTTCTTTTATAATTTCCTCAAGGGAAGGAATGGGAGAAAGACCTTGAAATCGCTCATCACCATCTTCATCATCGTAATCGTCGCTGTACGAGGGTCTATAACCCAGAGGGGACTTGGTATTCTTCTCAAAGAACCCTTGGCTCTCCAAGTCCTGAAGTAGGGCATTGTTCTCGTCTTGTCTTGAACTAGAAGTATCCGATGCACTGTTTGGCGCATACTGTGGATTCTCCGCGTTTTCATTTCTTGCCTCAATTCTGCTAGCGCCGGAGAAATTTCCATCTGAGTCTCCAGAAATCACGGAGACTCTCAAGGGCACACCTTTTTTCACAAGTTCCCTATACCGTCTGGAAGCAGCGCTACTCGTCTCACTAGCGCTGCTCGTGTTATGGCCTTTAGTTGGGCGTAAATGTCGGCGGTTACGTTTTGGCGAGTACATATTGTTTGGGCTAAGTTTATGAGGTGAGTTCACTTTTCCTGGTCGCCGATGTACGGGTGATGGGTACTGTTCGTCAGGAGCCAAAATGCAGCCAGAAGAATCCCGACGTATGCTGGGCAGTTTTCTTCGGTGCATGTTGGCGTCGTACGAGGAAAACGAGTTGCTGTTACTCCAGGTCTCTGAGTCCTGGCTTTCTGTCCAGCTTGAACCTACATTGTCGCCCCGGTTGACGCTCAAACAATTTGAGCATGCGCAGCTGCAAGTACCTTGAGAGAAAATCTCGGATGGACACGAGCACGACTCGTCTTCCACGGCTTGTAGCGCCGCCGCTGCACATAGGCACGACTCCTCGCTGGACACTGAGGCACTGTCGAAGCCGCTATCGATGAGGCGTATCCCAGGAGGGAGAAGTCCTTTACCTCCGGCCTGGGAAGTGGCAGCGGCGCTGGTGTTGCTTTGGATGATGTTGTTCATCTCAGACTGGATCTTGTCGATGTTGGTCGTTTCCTTCTCTGTGGTGGAAGATGAGCTGTTGTGTTGCGTGGAGGTTGATTCTGTCGAAGCTGGCTCACAGCTGGTGAAGGAATCATTACGCGAGACAGGTGAGTGGGATGGGTCAGCGCGCTGATCGTGGTGAGTGTGTGTGACGTCATTGTTGTTGGGGATACTGGTCGTGGGCACACTGCTGTTTGTTGTGACAATGCTGCTGGTAATACCTGTCGTAACGGTCCTGGACGGAGACACAGGCTGGACAGGCTTCGATGGAGATTGTGTCTGGGATGGGTGGGATGGGGATGTAGGCCGAATTAAAGTAAGTGGAGACACAGGCTGGGTTGTTTCAGGTGAGGATTCAGGCTGAACAGGCTTAGTCGGAGAAAGAGGCTGGGCGGGCTTCGGTAACAGCGCAGGTTTAACTGTTTTAGGAGACGTCACACGGTCGGTGGGGTGAGGTGGAGAGGATGGGAGAACCGTTTCAGGGGAAGAAACTCGATGAAATGGCTTCGGGGGTATCGGTGGAGGGGCAGGGGCAGGTTTCGACTTGGATGACGGTTTCCTGATGACGGGTGGAGAAGCCGCTGACTTAGCGGCTGCACTTTGAGTAGTGTCAGTAGTCTTAGGCTGTACGTCTTGTACCGTTGAAAGAGTGGTGTTTTGATCGTTGTTGTAGTCAGGGTGTCCTACGTCGGCAGATGTGGCCACCAGTTGTACGTCAGCATCCTGTGAGGTTTGATCCCACAGCGCAGCGTCGTCTGGTTGTGTAGGAGCAGAGTGTGACATAGCTGAACACGGCCGACTGGAGTATTTCATCTCCACTTCCTTTCCACGAGAGCCGCGTGCAGCGTCATAGCTGGCTGAAACAGGTCTTGACGTCGACCCTTTGAAGCTCAGCGCTTTCTTCAAGGCAACGCGAGCTTTATTCCTCTTGAGTGAGCTCCGGGCATTCCACGCGTGGAAGGATGAGTTTGTGGCGCTCATGGGTCGGGACGGATTTCGTTGAAGCTTCTGAGACATTGCAGCGCTAGCTGTTTTCGGTCTCGGGGAGGAGGAGGTGCCAGAGGAGGAGGAAGGTTTGTTGGACGGATTCTGACTGTTGTACATAGCTTTGAGAGCCTCGTACACCTCGGCCTCTAAGCTGCCATCGTCCGGCTGATGGCCTGAAGGGAGGGCATGTTGTTTGTTTTTCTTTGGAAAAACAACCCCAATGGGAAGACCTTCTAGATTGGGTGCCAGCTCACCTCTCCGCACTCGCTCCTCATACATTTCGATGAGCTGCTCCACCTTGGCGTCCTGCCTGGCCTTCAGCAACTCTCGGAGCAACTGCTCACCTCTCTTTGGCTTCTCGTCGACGTCTGCGATTCCTGGAAGAGCATCATCTTCAAACGAACTTATGGTCGCTGCTGACGTGGTTTTGTGCACTTGTCTCAGCTCAGAATTTCCCGATACTGCCACGTTTCCCAACCCGACTGCACCGACTGCCTCCCCCGGGGTACAGTACTGCTCTGACCCTGTGTAACTACCGTACCCAGAGCTAGAGCCACCTGAAGACTTCTTGGTCGTGTATCCCGCTGGGATAAATATCTCGCGGCCATCTTCTGTCTGTGATGTCACATACCCTCCTTGTTTGTATACACCGTTCTTAGCGACAAGCCTGATATGCTGATCTCGTTCTATCTCCTCCTCTATCATGTCCAAGTCCTCGCCTTCTATCCCTGCTGAATGGAACACGGAATGGTTGGGAAACTCGTAAGTATGCGCGCCGCGCACGTGTGTGATTCCGGGAATTTGACTATGACTGAAGCGATCTTCGTGGGGCTTGTAGTCGTCGCAATCGGAATCTTTACCTATCCAATCAGAACTCGTTTCTGTCCCAGATGCCCCAGTAGTTTTAGCCCGAAGTTTCCAGTTTTTATCAATGTCGTATTCCGCGGCTTGTGAATCAGCAAAAGCTGTTCTGTGAGCGCTACCGCTCGCAGCCTCTTCTTCAGAGTCTCCCATAGCCAACTTAGAAGTTTTAGAAGCTTCAGCTATTTCGGCTTTCGTAAGTACCCTTGGCACGAGATACTCCGCCTCTCCGGGTACACAGTAGGCGACCTCCGGCTCTTCAAATCTCTTCACGCCGACTGGCTGTTTCTCTTTGAGATTCCCACCCCGACCCCCTCTCGACCTGTTCCCAAGATGTCCGCCCCCACCACCCGAAACTGCTCCTGCGTGCGAGTCTGTAGGATGACCGTGGTGATGATGAGGTTTTCGAAAATGAGATGCTTGCTCTTTAAGAGTGGACGACACCTTGACCGTTGTCCGTCTGTACGGTTGCCTCTCCTTTTGTCTGCACTCACAGACACGCCCCAGCATCTCTAATCCTACTAAGGCGTAGGCCCGGATGTCTGGGTAGAAAAACCTCTTCCTGCTGACGCTGCTGTTGGGCGTGCCCGTGAGAAGAGTGCCGTAGATCTGAGCGTCCTCAAAGTCTCCAACTGCCGCTCGGAGAACCAAACACTGGGGAGAGATGACAAGAAGAGATTCAAGATACCTCTCTGCGGAATAATGGTGGTGATGGCGATGAAGGTAATGCCTTATTTGGCCCTCCCATTCTATAACACCACCGAACATTAGATTCCCCGAGATGATTTTTAATAGGACTAGGGTGTGTTTCTCTCTCTCTCTCTCTCTCTCTCTCTCTCTCTCTCTCTCTCTCTCACACACACACACACACACACCCACACAAATGCGCTGTCCCCGTATCTTCCTCTTGTTTTTTCTCAGAGATCACTGGTATAGTTACTGCAACAAATCTACAAGGGACAGAACAATCAGTGAGTGAGGTCAGATCTGGGCTAGTGGGTGAGTACCTGTACAGATCCCTTGAGGTAGACAGCAGCCGAGCTGAGGTTCCTGTGGAGAACGTTCTGGTCGTGCAGGTAGGAGAGCCCCTCGGCGATGTCGTGCATGATGGTCTTCTGGCACGGCTCAGGCAGAGGCACGTCCATGGTCTTCAGAAGCTCACACAGGGTGCTGCTTGACGTCATCTCGAGGCACGTCAGTCTGTTACATAGAAACACACATAGGTATGGTAGTATTAGTGGACTTCTTTTCGCAGTTTTGGTTTTGGTTTTGGGGTCCGTTTGTAACGACAACATTTGGTATGTCTCCTCTGACCGATTTGGCTATCGTTTCCTTTGAAACTTCAGTGGTCTAGAGACCTTTGAAATGAACGTTTGATTCGTTTTGAGCTGTGTGTCTTTTAAAATTACAATGTACATTGGGAAAAAGCGTGGGGGGGGGGGGGGGTTACATATTTCATCCGCATTGCGATCGCTGTATAACACTTACGATTGCACATCTCAGTTTGCCCGGAATGAACGGGGTGTGTCGTTATTCATTGTGTGATTCTATTTCTTTAAAGTTTTCAGAGTTACCTTATGTCTAGTGGTCAATTGATATGATATCAGTAATGCTATTTAAGCCACAGAGCACTTTAAAACAAAGCGATGATATGCAGTGACAATCTCCGATAAATACACCTCAATCTTTCTAACTGTTAAAATAGACTCGTGGGTGATTTGAACCTAGTCACCCGCAACACAGTGCAATGTTGTATTAAATGAGTAAAAATGACGTATCAAGTTAGGATTTAAAATACGGCCCAATCACAAGACACCCTCCGTTATTTGTACTCCTCCTCCTCACCTAGAGTCGCTCGTGACGATATCCCCACTGATGAGCGTCATGGTCTCGTAGTAAGGGTTCGAGTTACTCGTCCACAGACACTGCAGCACACTGGCACTCTGGGACTTCCTCAACAGGCCCAGCACCACGATTTCCTGTGCCCATGCCTTGATGTGGGCGGGGCCATACACCTTGAGCAGACCACGCCTCCACACACCTTTGCCAGCTGTCCAGCTTGCACGGAGTCGGAGCTTACCAGGGCCCTGTGGCAGAAAACCCAAACAAACAATCTAATAATTGTAAAATATACTAAGCTTCAATGAATAAAAAATATATACATAAATAGACAAATGAATTTACAAAATAAGTGAATAAATGAAGTAGTGGAGCAGATGAATAAATACATGAATAATAATATATCAATAAAATAATTAATCAAATCAATTGATGAATAAATAAAAACCACTTTAGATCATCTTTGTTGGGAAATTGGTTCACTGGCGTGTACAGGTACATAAACACACTATCATTATTATCAGCGTCGGATTATATACACAATACACAGCTATAACACAGCAGCGGCGGTCTATGCTGAAAAGCTCACAGGGCGTATATCAGCTTTGAGTCAGAGGAAATTTGAAGCCTTTACAAACTCCAAATTTACAATAGCCACAGCAATAAAAAGAGGGGACAAGAAGGACCGTTGTGACGACAGCGATAACGGAAATGGTATCTGGTACAACCATAAGAAAAACAAAAACGTGAACATCAACAATAATTGCGACAGCGACAATGCCATCGGAACCGCAACTACAAAAACAAAACCACCACCACCAACAACAACAACACCACCACCACCACCACCAACAACAACAATCATAGCAACAACAACAACAATAAACAAACATTGAATTCATGAATCTAACAACAGTAACAACAGAAACTACTATTATAAAAGAACGTCAAAAACGAACAACAAAACCTTGAGAAAAACCTACAACTAAAACAACAACAACAGTATCC